CACGCACGCACACACAGCATTTCTCTTCTGCATCTCTGTAGCTGCCTAACAAAGGTTTCCCTGTAAAGCAAAACAGCCTTTTAAATTTATATAGTACCTTTTGCCTATAGGGTCTTACAGACTATATACAGAAATAATCTCACCCATCACTGAGATGCAGCCGTTTCTGGAGTGGAACAAAGCAGGTAATGAAGAGTCTCACAGCAACACTAAAAGCCAGGAAAAAACAAATAATGTACCCAGTTGGAACTGCAGCACAAATTTAAGGAGACAGACTGCAATTAAATGTATGGATTTTAATTTGGTCAAGACACTGTGCAAGGTGCTATGGGATCATTAATGACAAAGGGGCAAGGACCCTGGTTTCCATCTCAGCTGAAAGATATTACTTCTAACAGCACAGTGCCCTCCAGCATGAGGTTGGGTCTAGTACTGACTCCTAAACCACACATACTACTGTCTGTAGATCTGTAGTGGCCTCCCATCCACATATTAACATAACATAGCCTTGTTTAGCTTGTGAGGCTCTAGTCTAGACAAAGACAGCTTTGCCTCAAATGGACACACGAAAGTGTTTGTCCCTAATGCATGTGCAGCCTCCATCCTGTAGAAGTGAGGCATCTGCCCTACCAGCCTGGCTTCTTCCTCTGCTCTACATTTTCTTGCAGCACTTCTGACAGTGAGGCAAACTCTTTTCCTTCATCCTTAACACTCCCAACAAGCTGAGACACTTGAGTTAATGAAGCTTCCTAAAACAATGCTGCTTTCAAACCACAGATGAAAGAAAAGGAAGCCAGGGTAGGGTGCACACTGAGAGGATCCCTGAGATTTATATGAGGGGTGACTATGTTTCATACATCTGAGCCCACAGGCCAAAGAAAGCCATGGCTCTGTGGGACAATCCGCTCACTCTGGTCCTTGGCTCCAGTACCACGGACTCTGAGTGGGTTGGCTCCGTGGCACTCATACCTCCCTGTGTGTGCTGGCCCCTAGGTGGTAGCACAAGAAGTTGCTGCAGCTATCCCTATTAGAATCATAGTCTCTCTTCACTGGCAGCTGCCCTAAGGATGCAACTCACGCAAGACTTATGCCTCTTCCATTCCCTGTTCTACCAGGCCTGGAGCCTATTTCCTGTCCCACCAGGCACCAGCATATGTTGATTTACAACACCATACCCCAAACTCCCATGGCATTCAAAAGGTGAAAATCCACACCCTGCCCCTTCCATCCCACCAAGGCTATGAAGAACTACGACTTCCTGGAGCTAACTCTTTGGGAAAAGGAAAATGCTCCCCCTCTACCCCAAAGACTTATCGAAAGCAGCAACATGACAGGGACCCAGATTATTGGCTAGGTCCCCTTGGAAAGCGCTAGGTCTCCTCCTAGGTCTGAGAGAAATCTCCTGGGTAAGGGTGTGAAGGCTCCTGGCTGTCAGTGAACAAGGAGGAAAGGAGCTGCTTCCTGCAGAGCACAGAACTGAATGAAAGGCAGGGCACTAGTTTGTTGCTGCCCTGCTGTCTGCTGGCAGCAAGGAGAGGTCACCCTCCAAACACCCCACCACAATGCCTGGCCAATGATGATGGTTTCACAGCCTCTGCCAGGGATTCTGTGAGACAAAGACAGACTCAGGAGAGGAAGAAAAGCATCGATAGGCAGAGTGCTGGAAACATCTGGCTTCTCTATCTCTTGAGATCTCCTCTATGAAGGATTCCCTCTTCCTTCAGAGCCCAATCTCCTAGCACCCTTTCTTTGGCTGAAGAAGGCTCTATGGGATTCCTTTGTATTAGCATCCATTGGCATCCAATCCTATACTGGCCAGGAAGGGTCACCACAGACTGACTGCGCAGACTGCCTCCAGGGAAGCTGGGGAGTGAGAAACTGAATCCAAGACTCAAGGCTGAGTCTTTTGGGCAGTAGTGGTGAGCACTAAACATAGGCCTCCTATGTCTGAGGAGGAAATGAGGCATCAGACATTTTAAGGAAGCCAAGCAATACAGAGGGTTCTGGAAGATAATACATCCAGTGAATTTAGATAAATGTTACCATCTGGGAAA